TCAGTATCTACAGCTGTTTTCCGGTTTTTGCTGTGCAGTCATCTCCTTGTGTATCTCTCAGCTCTAGAACTGTCTGTGACTCAAGAAAGCCTTTGTGGTGTTTGGGGCAAAGGAGATCCAGGGATGGGCCAGCCAAGTGCTGAGCAGGGCAGGGAGAGGAAAGTGGCCACTCAGCCAGGAGTGATGTCAGGGACCTGAGGTGGTAGGGAGCACAGCCGCTGCCCTGAATGACCAAGGTGGACGTGGTTGAAAAATCCACACCTTCCTGCAGCCCGACTCCTTGCCCGGAAAAGAGAAGAAGGCAGTCTCGGGATAGGCAGGAAGGGGGATTGCGTACTACACAATATTGAGTCACAGGTTGTCTAGGAAAGACACTGTGTTGTTTAGTGTTTTTATTAATACTTTGTCTTCAATTTTGTCTAGAATATTTATTTAGCCCTTAAGATATTACCATCCACTACCAGTTAATTTTTGTGATTTTTCTGTGATATGAAAGTGAATATGCTCAAGGACAAGGAGTTGATTTAAGCTTCTTTGAATGTGCCAGTGCATCTAGCACATGATATGTCCTGAACAGATAGTATTTGAATAACAAGATATATAAAATCCTGAAGCTCTATAGATGAGAAGGAATCTACATTTATTTTGTTTTTAAATGATGATTTTTATAAATGCAGGGTCAGTCAACGAAGATAACTATTAAGAGCTCAGGTTCTAAGGCAAGACTGCCTGGGTGTGAAGGTTTAAAGACTGGCTCTCTTTTTAAAAAATATTTTTTATTGATTTCAGAGAGAAAGCGAGAGAGAGAGAGAGAGAGAGAGAGAGAGAGAGAGAGAGAAAGAGAGAGAGAGAGAGAGAGATCATGAGAGAGAATCAGTAATCTGCTATCTGCTGCCTCCTGCTCAAACCCTAGTAGGGACTGAGCCAGCAACCAGGCACATGCCCTGACTGGGAATCGAACTGTGACCTACAGGTTCACAGATCTACTCTCAACCACTGAGCCATAAAGCTAGACAAGACTGGCTCTATTTTTACAGTTGCATAGTTATGGCATAAATGTACCACAACATTTTTATCCCCTCACCTACTGATGGGCACTTGAGCTGTTTCCAGATGTTAGCTATTGTAAATAGCACTGTCGTGAACATCAGGGTGCATATATTCTTTCTAATTGGTGTTTCAGGCTTCTTAGGATATATTCCTAGAAGTGGGATCACTGGGTCAAATGGCAGTTCTATTTTTTGAGGGATCTCCATACTGTTTTCCATAGTGGCTGTACCAGTCTACATTCCCATCACCAGTGAACTAGTGTTCCTTTTTCTCCACATCCTCTCTATCACTTGTTTGTGGATATGTTGATGATGGTAGCCATTCTGGCAGATGTGAGGTGTTACTTCATTGTTATTTTAATTTGCATCTTTCTGATGATTAGCGACTGAGAATTTTTTCATGTTTCTTGGACATCTGTATGTTCTCTTTGGAGAAGTGTCTATTTAGGACCTTTGCCCATTTTTTAATTGGATTGTTTGTCTTCCTTTTGTTAAGATGTATATGAGTTGTTTATAAATTTCTGGAGTGTATTATGCTAAGCAAAATAAGCCAATCAGAGAAAGACAAGTATCACATGATCTCATGAGGAATCTAATGATCAATATAAATTGACAAACAAAACAGATCAAGAGACATGGAAGCATGGAACAGACTGATGAATCTCAGAGGGAAGAGAGGAGGTAAGGGGGAGGGTGGGCAGGAAAGATTAACTCAAGAACTTATATGCATATATGCATAACCCATGGACACAGACAATAATGCAGTGAAGACTAAGGTGGGGGGAGCGAGAGTGGGATGGAGGGGACCAACAGGGGGAAGGGGGACATCTGTAATACTTTTAATAGTAAAGATAAATTAAAATAATAAATAAATGAAGGAAGGAAGAAAGGAGAGAGGGAGGGAGGGAGGAAACTGGCTCTATACAAACAGTATGACTTCAGGCAGATTACTCAGCTTCTCTATGTCTCAGTATTCTGATCTGTAAAGTGAGCATTATAATAGCACCTCCTTCATGGGTGGTTCTGGGGATTTGTAAATACATTCAAAGCATTTAGAACAGTCCCTGAAAGTAGTGGCATGCTACATACGTTGTCATCGGTCTCACCTGCTTGAAACTATGGCACCATCTGGCGATTCCCTCACTGTGTAGACAAGTACACTTGTCTTCATTCCCAAGTCCTGACTTCTTGAAGAGGGGCAACCAGCCTTCAATTCCCCTGCCCAGCTCTCCCAGAAGCATCACGTGCAAATGCTTTGGGAATTAAACTGGAGGAACTCCAGCCAGGGGCCTGATACTTAAGGGCAGAGATAAGACTGGTGCTCAACTCACCCGGCCACCAATCTGAGCCAAAAGCTAGTGGCGCCTGAACACTTCAAGTGTGACAGGCCCATAAGAGCATGTCCTCTTTCCCCCAGAGAGTTAGGGCACTTGCTCTGGCCCTGGAGCCTCTTAAAGGCCTGACCCAGTGTCTCCAGTGGAATGTACAGCACAGGGGATGTGAAAAATGTCCTCTTGGAAATGGGAAAGCCATCCTACAATGTTTCTTTATATCAATTTTTAATCTTGACATTTACTAGGTACAATTTAATAATATTGTATCATATGTATAAAATGTATGAGTAAATGATATGCCTATCTTACAGGCATTTTCTCAAACATGTGGGTTCTGATAGTCCCTAGAGTTACAGGGTTAGCTGAGAAAGTGTAAGGATTTTAAATGAAGGGAATTAAGTGTAGAAATAGCGAGTAACCAGGGTGGGTGAGAGCTCATGGTTTTATGCTTAGGAGCTGGAGGAGATGGTTCTTCCTACATGTAATCCTGCAAGATTTCCAGTGCACTTCTGGAAATGTCCCTAGTGTTGCATTAAGTCAGCTTATTTCCTCAAAAGTGTCTCAAGTTCCAAGGTGCAGGCTGGGGTGGGGTCCTTGACAGCTGGTTGTCACAGCCTCAGATCTCTGCCAGGGCAGAGGTTACTGTTACAGAAGCCAGGCAAACAGGTTTTCCCCTGTGAAGCCCTTAGACCAAAGGAAAGCACTCGTTCATTCATTCATCCAGCACCATCCTCCATCGATGGCTGAGAGCAGAGGCTGGCAAAGTTCCTCCTTAAAGTGCCAGAAGGTAAGGATTCTCAGCTTTACCATCTAGTCTCTGTCACAGCTACTCAATGCGGCCGCTGCAGCGGGAAAGCAGCTATAGCTGATACTAAATGAATGGGTGCGGCCACATTTCAAGACCTTTGTTTATAAACACTCAAATTTGGATTTTATATAAATTTTTCATATCACAAAACAGATTCTAACTTTTCATTGTAAGCCATTTAAAAATGTAATAATCCTACTGAGCTCACCAGGGCTCCTGAAACAGGCGGCCAGCGGGATCTGGCCCAGGTCCCCTGCCTTAGAAAAAACTCTACAGTTCTGTTTATTTTTTAGAAGTGCCAGCATCTTTCTTTGTCTTTAATCTGACATACATGCATGAAGTATTTATATCTTATTACAGCTGATTTTTCATTAACTCCCCAGAATTTTATTAATGAGATCATTCTAAGAGCATATGAATATAGAACTGAGAATGAACATAATCCCTTTAGTTGTCAGTGTTTATTCAGATTAGATATTGAACATCTCTGAGGTTATCACCATCTTTTATAAAATTACCTTAATAACATGCAACAAACTAAATGTTACACCAGCCCAATCTCACATGGGTGTGGGTTTAGCAGGCTGAAGGTGAGAGAGATTCTGACAGAAGAATAAATGGGTATTCTTTTTCTTCTAAACCAAGATAGCTATTATTAAAACTGGATGGAATTTACAATGTCAAAAATAAAATAAAGAGTATTTTATCCCTTGTTGCCTACGATGCTGTAAAAAACTGAAATGTAAATACCAATAATCAACTATAAAAGCAACTTAGCTTGACTGGATTTCAAGACGTGTAATTTAATATCATAATGCAGTTTAACAAAATTGCTTCGCTCTACTTGGTGGTAACTAGAAGGAACCATCTGAAGAGGCAGAGCCCTGTGTGCCCAGGTGTAGACCAGGGCTTTGCTTTCCCAGCCTCAGCCCCTGTCCAGGCCAATGCGGATCATTAGGAAGGAAAGAGAGAGCGCTGCTCTCCGCAAATCATCTACATGATATTTTCTGAGATTACTTATCAATGCTCAGCTTTATAATAAGTGCAATTCTCAACATCTCAATTATATCCATTTTATAGTTAAGTGTTCTCTGGTACGCTGAGTCATGACATTTGACCATTATTTTGCCAATGGCTGCGCATTCTGGGAAAATACATGTCTTTCTTCATATGGCCTCTGCTGGTATTCAATTCAAAATATAGATTTAATCCAGGAAAGTTAAACAGTTGACTGAACCACATGCAATGGCCAACATCCAATCTTTAAATAATAATTTCATATAATTCAGCCTAATAGTGTGTACAAAATAAATTCTCAGTTTGCCATACAAAGTATGCTACATTTTTTAGTCAATATGTTTTTTTCCCCAAGCTTGCCTAGTAGGTAGACTATATAATTTAAAAAAATACTTACCAGAATTAGGTATATGCCTTTTACATCCCATATAATGACCATGCTTTCTCGAGGACTTATATTCATTAAATACTTTAGTAAGGATGAATAAGGAATTAATCCTGCTTCCTTCAGTTTGCCTGTTTGACAAAATAAGCTTACACCCTCCATGGTATATCTTTCATTTACAACATACTGACGGAGGTAAACTGGACTCAGGTTTGGTTTCCATCATCACCATCACACAGGTATCATAATGCTTGTAAGGAGAGAGGACACACACACACACACACACACACACACACACACACATACACACACACACACACACATTCCTTCCATGAGGGAGGGTTGTGGGGCTCCCAAGCATGCCACCCACCCTGGAGAGGGCACGGGGTGGGGTCCTGAATACACACCTGTGCTCGTGCGGTAGGTGCCGGTGTGTGCTGGCGGCAGAGGGTCCCCCTGGCTCTGGCTGAGACTCCTCATAGGGGGCTTCTGATAGACGCGGTCTTCATAGATGGGGTCTATGTGGTGCTCTGGGGACTGCAGGGCCCGCAGCTCTGGGCCCAGGTGGCCGTGCTGGCTGCTGTATGAGGCCCGGGACCCAGCTGGAATAAAATAACAGCAGACATGAAGACCCGACCAATATTCAAACAAAACTTGTTTTATCAAAGGCATATTTGATTTTTTTTTCTGACAAAAATGTTGAAATCTGCAGAATATCAAATAACATGAAATGGCAGAAATATGTAAGTTAATCAGCTTATCGGCATCACCCAGCTGCCTAGCTTTGCTCCCAAACCTGATCTCCCTCTAAGGATAATGATTTTGAGATAAATCCACACCGAACAGGGCCACTGAAACATCAGTTTTCTCAGTCTAACGAATGTTGCTTGGCTTCCTCACTAACGGGATCAGGCAGACAGTCAAACCTAAAACCCTCTTATCCCATAGTCCTTGCACCTTAAATTTTGCAACAAATTATTAAAGTCATGAGCCACTGAATAAGCCACGATGGCAAGTCATCTTTATGTTGTTTCTGAAAAGTGGACCCGAATTTGTTCCCATCATCAGTTTTCCCCTGGACAATGAATGAACCAAAATGTTCAGACTTACAACAGCCTAAGTCTCTAAGAGAAGCAGACTTTTTTAAAGAATGTTTTAAAGTTATATTTTGCTTTATCCCTACCCTCTAAATTGAAGCATCTGCACTTAGTGCATCTTGCTCTGAAGAAGGTATAAATAACTGGCTTAATTTATAAATTGAGGCTACACATCACTCGCCTGATAGTAGTTGTAAATCACTGTATGTTTCATTTCCTTGCATTGCATGGGAAGAGGTGTGGCTTTGAAGCCATGCTGTGAACCTCTGCACACTGGGAAATAAAGTTTTATAAGGGCTAAGCGGTTGAGTTGACACAAGGTAAAGAGGACGCTGATTGAGAGCCAGTATTTCCTGGGAGGTACGAACGAATCACAGCGACAGAGTGGCAGGAGAACCATCTCCATGGAGGCAGATGGAGTAAAGGACACCTAGGGACAATGAAGGGCGTGGGCATCAAGGATAAATGGTTATCTAAATGAGGTGAGCAGAGAACACACAAGAGCCAAATGAGGCTGCAGCTGATGTTAGGAAAGACCCTTCGGCTAAATCTCCAAAGCTAATACCACATGGCACACTGGGATTTATTTAACTGTCAACTGCCTTTTGAACAGCCCGACTCTGAGCTCCCCATTCAAACCTACAGCAACAGGGTGTTGCAATTCCTTGATTTCGGAGCTATTTGTGGACAGCTTTACCTCCGTTCCTCTGGTCCAAGTCCTTCACTGGGGACCACCTTAAAACCTGCTTCCTGAGGACCCCTTAACCACAAGGATTTCAATATTCTTTTTTTAAAAATATATTTTATTGATTTTTTACAGAGTCAAAGGGAGAGGGATAGAGAGTCAGAAACATCGATGATAGAGAAGCATTGATCAGCTGCCTTCTGCACACCCCCCACTGGGGATGTGCCTGCAACTAAGGTACATGCCCTTGACCAGAATCGAACCTGGGACCCTTCAGTCCCCAGGCCGACGCTCTATCCAGTGAGCCAAACCGGTCAGGGCTCAATATTCTTGTCTAGTATATTTAAGAAAAAAACTATTCAACTGTTTTTAAATTGGCAATAAATGTTTTCCTAATATACATTTTATACAGGGTGCTGTAAATAAAACAAACAAATAGAAAACAGGATTTCCGAATGATTGGAGCAGTGCTAAGAATTCCATGAATTTAATGTTAATTAAAAATCACTAACTGTTTTGAGGAAAGGCAAGTTCCTTACCTTTCCCTTTGCTAGTAATTAATTCAATCCTGATTCAGATAGCATGCAGATGAATGATAAGTCCAAAATAACTGCTTTGCATAATTGGGTTCATTGCATCTCATTGATCACATTCCAACATCACACTGAATATTATCTCATTTTGATATTCCAAGAATATATTTTAAGTGTGATAATCCTTGCATTCATGCTGTCAATTTTTCATACTACTTGGAAGTTTTAGTAATATTGCCAAAAACTTACAAGTCTAAAAGCAAGAAAACAGACATTGCAATTGACCATTGAACAACCCGTGTGTTAGAGGCACTAACCCTCGCAGTCAAAAATCCCTGTGTAACTTCTGACTTCCCAAAATTTAACTACTGCTAGCCTAATGCTGACCAGAAAGAAGCCTTACGAATGACATAAATAGTTGATTGACACATATTTTGCATGTTTTCATGTATTATATATTGTATTCTTACAATAAAGTAAGCTAGAGAAAAATATTAAGAAAATCAAAAGAGAAAATACATTTACAGTACTACTTTTATTGATACCATAAGTTTATGTTGTCTGTTTACAAGATGAAAAAAGCTGCATATAAGTGGACTGGTGCATTTCAAATCTGTGTTGTTCAAGGGTTAATACACCTAAATGTTTTATAGTTAAATAAGCGTGTTACCCATCACTGGTAGATTTAGAGATGTAATTTTATCACAGTTCTTTATTCTAAGCTCTGAAAACATCTAAGGGTATGCAATGAAAACACCTGCTGACCTTTTAAGTCATGATATGATCTGAGGGCGTGTGTGAAAATCCTCTTAGTAAAAGCATTTACTGGGCATTAGGACATTTTTATTAGCATACAATGAATCAGAAATCAATGACCAAGGGACACGAATCTTACGATAAGGTCTACCTTTGTAGATATCACGATTACTATATGCTGATAGTAAGAAAAATATAATAGTAGAATCTAATCTAATAATAGACAAACATGGCAATTGACCATACCTCCGCTACGCTTCCCATTGGCTAATCAGCAGAATATGCAAATTTACCCAACCAAGATGGTGGCTGGCAGCCACACAGCTGAAGCGAGCAGGAGGCTTGCTTGTTCCAGTGATGGAGGAGGCTAAGCTTCCTCCCCGCTGCAGCCGGGCTCTGAGCTCCACTCTAAGCAACAAAGTTGCAATTGTAGAAGATAAACAAACCCCAGATACCTGCTTTCAGCAGGCTGTGGCCTCGGAGCTGGAGCAGCAACAAAGTTTCAAGTATAGAAGGTAAATAAATCCCAGAATAAAAAAAAAAGAAAGAACAAAAGGAGAGGCTGGGAGCTTCAGTCCCCGGCTTGGCCAGCCTGAAAACAGCCATCAGCCCCTCATCCAAACTGGCCAGGCACCCCAATGGGGGCCCTCACCCTGAAGGGGGCGTGACCAGCTGCAAACAGCCATCACCATCAGCCCCTCACCCAGGCTGGCCAGCGACCCAAGCGGGACCCCCACCCTGATCCGGAACACCCTTCAGGGCAAACCAGCAGGCCCCCACCTGTGCATTAGGCCTCTATCCTATATAGTAAAAGGGTAATATGAAAACTGACCCTAAAAGCAGAAATACTGGGAATGACTGGTCACTATGACACACACTGACCACCAGGGGGCAGACGCTCAGTGCAGGAGCTGCCCTCTGGTGATC